AGGCGGGCAGCAGCGTCAGCAGACCAATGCCCTTTTCGGTGCGCAGGGCCGCCACCAAGATGTCGGACGGCTTGAAATCGACGTCATTCCAATCAGGCTCATCGTCGAACTCTCTTGAGCCCTCAGGCTCCTCGCCTTCCACTTCCATAAGCGCATATCAGAACTCCCCGAACTAAGCTTGGAAGAGGCCGCTGTCGAGAATTCGCGCGCTTGAGGCTCGGAGGTTTGAGGACGTTTCGTCCGGTACCGTAGGATCCCCCAGCGGAGCGTGAGCGGTGAGGGCTCACGGGATCCTGGATCTGCCACACGCGAGCTGCGAGCTCGCGTGTGGATCGCGCCTCCTGATGACGCAATAACCAACCGACGCCTTTTGGAGAGGCGGCCACAACACCGTGGACGCGTGATGTTCGTGGTGATGATGTTTTTGATCTTGGGCGGAGGCTCGAATTGCGGCCGAGTGGACTCCCAGCGGACTTCTCTCTTCTTCGTGCCTTTCCGGTGCATCGGGGCACCGACGCAGCCAACCGGCACTTGCCCCTCCCCCTTTATCGCCTCCTCGGGCTTCCGCGGCGCTCTTTGGGGCTTCATCCTTCTTCCCACGGCCTTCTTCCAACGAAATGTACCGTCCGGGCCGGAGATCTTCGTTCCCCGCTACCAGCCCCAGCCTTCTTCAGCAGCAACTCGTCCACCTTCGAGGCTCCGACCGTTCGGCACCACGCATCCAGTCGCGGTAAGGTAAAACGGGAGGGTACTTAAGGTGGCTGGCTGGACCTGGGTTCTGAATGTGCGTGTCATGTTGCATGTCTCGCGCTTGTTTGCAGTGTGCGACATGTTTTTCGCAGTCAACGAGCGCTGTCCGTTGTTTCTGCATGTCTTGTTTCGCCTCATTTGCTTGATACGAACTGATGCTTAGACGAACTTCGTCGCCCGTTTCATGCATCTACTTAACCTTGGGGGGGTGGGGGGGGTGGGGTTGTTGTTGTGGTTGTTGTTTTGTGTGTGTGTGTGTGTGTGTGTATCTTCCGTTTATATTCAATATTCTTTCAACCGCCTTCGCGGCATTCTCTGTCTTATATGGGCCATCGCGCACGATAGCGGCCCTTTTTTCTCTCGTCTGTGCGCCACGGCCTTGGCACTTCTCGTCTTATCTCAGCTCCCGGACGAGGTCGAGCAGCCCTTCCCCTCTCTGTATGAGGGAGAGGCATGGATGCAGGCATGAGGTGTCTTCCTCTGTCTTACCTTCAGTGTCCCCGTACGTCGACCGGTGACGGTCTCGTCCCGCGCGTTGGACGAGACGTTGCATGCGACAACGGCCTGCAGTACTACCTCCAACGGCTCTTGTCTCTCTCTCTCTGTGCCCCCGCGTACGTCGATTCGCGTGGCAGCGGCTCTTGTCTCTCTCTCTCTGTGTGCCCCCGCGTACGTCGATTCGCGCGGCAGCTCTTGTCTCTCTCTCTCTGTGTGCCCCCGCGTACGTCGATTCGCGCGGCAGCGGCTCTTGTCTCTCTCTCTTTGGGCCCTCGCGTACGTCAATTCGCGCGGCAGCGGCTCTTGTCTCTCTCTATGTGCCACTGCATCGGCACCTGTCGTCTCTCTGTGTGCCACGGCATCGGCGCGTCTCGTCTCTCTATGTGCCACGGCGTCGGCACTTCTCGCATCTCTGTGTGCCACGACATCGGCACGTCTCGGATCTCTGTCTGCCACGAGGTCGGCACTTCTTGCATCTCTGTGTGCCACGGCATCGGCACTTCTCGCATCGCTGTGTGCCACGGCATCGGCACGTCTCGCATCGCTGTGTGCCACGGCATTGGCACTTGTCGTCTCTCTGTGTGCCACGGCATCGGCACGTCTCGCCTCCTTGTGTGCCACGGCGTCGGCACCTGCTTCCGTCTCTTCTACGTGCCATAGCACTGGCACTTGTCGTCTTATCTATCTTATTCTGGGCTGCCGGACGTTGAGCGGCCCTTCCGTCTCTTCTACGTGCCACATTATGGGCACCCGTCGTCTTATCCGCCTCATTGGGCACTCCGGACGACATTCGTGGTGGGGCAGCTCCCCCCCTTTTGTCTCCTCTCCGCCCTAACAGCGGCTCTCCTGGTGCACCTGTGCCACCCCCGATGACGCTCACGTGATCAGCGTTTTCGTCTCTTGGGTACCCTGACATTAGTACTCTGCCTTCTTTCACGCTCACGCTCACGCACGGCATTCGCATGGATCAACGTCTTTTTCCTTACCTTCCCGGCGTTACTCTCACGCACGATATTCGCGTTCTCTGCCAGAAACAGGCACTCTGCCTTGTCTCAGCTTGTCTCAGCTTATCTCAGCTCTCACATACCGCATTCGCGCAGGTGCGGCACTCTCATCTTCGGGGTCCTACACTAACACTCTCTATCATCTCATAAGGCCTTCGCGGCCAGGGGCATTGCGGGACTCACTCCTCGATGAGGCCTTCGCGGCCAGGAGGGGTCTCACACACACGACATTCGCGGGAAGGTCGCTCTTCGTGTTCTGCCGGCCGACTGGGGAACCCTGTCCTTTGCAACCCTCGAAGTTGACATTGCGTGAAGGCAGGCCCTCCTTTTTGGCCTACCCTTTTCTCTCGCGCACTTTCCGTCGTCTCCACAAGTGCGTGACAGCCCTTACGCTTGGCATATCGCAAAGCTTGGTGACCCGTCGGCCTCCTATGTATGCCAACAGCAGCACATTCGGCCGTCTCGAGCCTTGTCACGACACTCACGAGGGCGGCCCTTTGCCCTTTTCCCCTCAGGCTGGCAGTGGCAGTCGGCCATAATACATCTCGCCCAGCGGGTCTCCTATCCGCTTCGGATGCTCTCATGTCCTGGCAGGGGCAGTCTGTTCTGGATCTCCTTGCGCATGACACTCGCGCTCTTCAGCTCTTGTGTACAAATTCGCACGCTGGGGCCCTCTTGTCTGATTACATTACGGCGACGTCCCCTCCCATTCCAGCCAGACATCAATGGCCCTCCCGGGGGGCGGCTATGGCAATCAGCCTGTCTCCTTACCACGTCTCTCACACCGCATCGCAAACGGCGGCACAGCTCTAGCCGCCTCTGGTCGTAACTCTCACCCTGCATATCGACCGACTGTCGGTCCCTGGTCGTAGCACACTTTCACACCACACATCAACCGACAGCGAGTGTCTGTCTCCAGTCCACGCTTCCGCAGAAGCCCGCGAAGACCTGCTCACGCCTGACAAAGGCAAAACGCAGGCAGCGGCAACTTTTCGTCCATGACGGTCTCTGGTTGGCCGACACTCCGCCAGGATCGATATCAAGATGACGCCGATTGCCATATGACATTCAGATTCGGCGACCGTGACGCATCAGTGCCATAGGCGCGGCTATCATCGATGGCGAGGAAGGCATCACGACCGGCGGTCTGCCCCCACAATCGTCCACATTTACCGGGATCCGGGCCGACCCGACTGACTAATGAGAGCGCACATGCTCCGATCATCCTCTCTTCCTTCATCTCCCCCTTCCCTCTTTACGCCTCACACCACCGCACCTCCCTCTGTCGGTCCGGTGGGCGAGGTGGGATGTGGGCGTTGCCCCAGGCCCTGAGCTGTGCAGGGCCCGGGGGCGTTTCTCACGGTGATCTGTCGCAAGGCGAGGTGAGAGTTACTCACCATCGCATTGCGACCCGGCATTCGGCATCCGCATCCCCAGGACCAGCAGGAGACGGCCGCCTGAGCCCGGGGAGCGGGCGCGCAGCGTTGGGGATTCGGAGGTTTGAGGACGTTTCGTCCGGTACCGTAGGATCCCCCAGCGGAGCGTGAGCGGTGAGGGCTCACGGGATCCTGGATCTGCCACACGCGAGCTGCGAG